CCCTATGATGCCTCTGGTGTCGCAGAACTGACGCACCTGTGCCTGCTGTTTCTGCATTGGCTACAAACGGCCAACTACTTTCCGACTCGGCAGGGCTGTCGCTGGCATCCGGAGATCGAGTGGCTCTTGCTGGCATCGAGCAGCCGCTTCGACGTCGAAAAGCACCAAGCTGTCCAATACAGACAGACAAAAAAGAATGAGACCTACGGGGCTGCGCACGTGTTGCGGACGGTGAACGAAGACACGCTGAATCTTCCGACGCACCACGTCGCACCATGTCACAAAGCTCTCGTTCATTAAACAGCTCCTCTTGAGTTGGTATCTTTAATTCTGAAGGTATTTTGAAGGGCCGAAAATCGTTCACAGGGGCAGCTGTTCTTTGGGGCTTTCCTCCGCTTTTGGCAGGAGTAGAAGTTTCAAGGGATTTCCCCCCACATTTCCCCTCTGCCTCTGCATCTAGGGGAAAGCCTAATGGCGTCGTCAACTGGACAGCACCCTGTATAGGCAGCTGCTTTTCTGGCGGCAGCACACAAGCTGAACCTCCTAGCTGCAGACTATTCCTGGATCTTGCTGCGCCGGGTGGGCGTAATACTGAAGTGAACGCCGCGCCAGCCGCTGCAAGAGCATTCACTGCAGTTGTCAGTGCATCCCTTGAGATGCTGCTGAAAACGGTAGAGGCTAAAGCCAAAGAGGCTTCGGTCAGTGCTGCGCTTGCAAGTGTCGACGAGCGCAGGAGGCGTCGAAGACGATCCGCAAACATCCGCTGGAAGCACGGCAGACCTAAACGAGAATGAATGCTTACACACTCTCCTGCTTGTCCGTTTACAGGTGCTGCATTCACCACAGAACTAGTCACACAAAGCGCCTGCCCTGACCCAGCTGGAGCAGATTCACCTCCCATCTGACCGTGATTTCCGTAACCGCCATTGGATGACGGAATGTTTACCGCCCCTCGTTGCGTCGTGAAGCCAGAGACAAGGCGAGAGGGCTGTATATCGCACTCCGCTACTTCCTCCTGGTCGTCTTCGTGTTCATCTCTTTCAATTACATGCAGATCCACTCTGAATATCCTGGAGTGACGAGCAGCAAGTGTTGCCGTCGCGGCCGCAGCAGTCGTGATCGCTGCTGTCGCACTAGAGGTTGCAAATGCAACGAGCAGTGCCCCAACGAAAATAGCTGCCGCAGTTGTTCCATTAGAGAGGGGTGAGAGAAGGGTTGCAAAAACGCTTTCGCGACCAAGAACGTCGAAAATCAACCGATCACCCTGCACTCCATCCACTTCTGGTGTTTGCCGCGATGGCCGTGGACGGTTATCGTCCACAATATTAGGAACCGTCCTTCTCTCCTCACGCCTCCAGCCGCGGTCCAATTGGGCTAGAGCGTCTGATTCAAGCGTGCCATAGGGGGGAAGTGGCCACACGAAGGTGCAGTCGCCAGTTGCCTCGGCAGCACAACATGACGAGTGCGCAGACGGCTCCTGCAGATGACGCAGTGAGACCTGCCATTCAAGTAAATAGTGCTGGTCGCGTAGAATTTCTGCTACGCATAGTCCAGGCCTGTTTCCCGGTCTCAAGTGACGTAGTCTCATGGGTTGACGAATGTTGAGTGCCCTTTTAACAAACGTAGAAACAAAGTCTTGAGGGTTTAGCCACTTGTCCCGGTTATTGCACTTCAATTGACGCTGCTTTTCATGTTCCCCGCCACCGCAATCCTGACCATCCACCGAAGACGTTCCTCCAAGCGTGGAACAGCGGCAAGCACTTGTAAGATCAGGAACCGCAGGGTGCATAGGAAACTGCAGTTCTAGTTCCCTGACGTGAATATAAATCCTGGGACCCGGACTAACCCGATTAAGCAGGAACAGGAAACGCCAGTCCACTGACTCGTGCACTGCGAGAAGACAAGGAGCAAACAATACGCAAAACTGCAGGATTGCAGAGACATTTGCGCAAACAAATTTCAAAATTCAAATTTCTAGAAGGGCATTCCACCAGCAAGTCTACTACCCCTACTATCCAGCCATAAATTTGCGCTGTAGCTCACATGTGCATCCAGGCAAGGCTTGGAGCCCTCTGCAGTGCGTCCCTGCACCGTGCGCCGCATTCGCAGCAGTCCGCTGGTATATGAATTTCGGGTGACAACGTGTAGTCCATAAGAACTCTTCACAAGCACTAGAGGGGTCGGACCGTCCACCTTCACACCGGCTGCGGGCTGTTGAATCCGACGATGAGGAGTCCGCCTGATCAGCGTCGCTCAAGCTTCCCGGGCCTAAGCAACTCTGGTTGCTTTCTAGGGAACTGCGGATTACGTTGTCCACATAAAAGCTACTCTTTCCTTGCTTTAAAAGATTTCTGTGGACACGCGATTCAGGGTTCGGTCCTGTTTGCTTGGCGTTAGAAGCGCATTTGACCGTTTTCTCCTTAACCCTCTTCCGATACTGCCGACGAAGCACACCAGCATTGGGGGAACATGTAGCAAGGCCAGCTGAGAAGCAAAGCGCCCTCCATGTGTCTCTGTGATAAGCTATCCATCGGAGGCTTTTGCAGACTGATGCAAGCGCTACTACATCCTCAGCATCCAGGAAGATGGCTACATGTCCAAACACCGCAGCAGGCAATGGAGTCTGGGACAGAGGCAGCACTGTCCGCTTCTCAGGCTGTGAGCGAGCTGTACATCTACCCGACTTTTCAGATGCCACGGACTCTTCGCTACCTGCTCTGTCACAAAACCACAGGGGTCGGCCAAAAAAACCCAAGCCACCTAAGTCCGACGGGCCCTCAGAGCTTGGCATGGGAGATTTATGCTCCTCTATGCGATAAGTAGCGCTCGGCTGCACTCTTGGAGGCATCGCAGGCCTTGTTCTACAGATCGCGTGTTCCGAAGGCCCCACGATGGAGCCCTGCAAACATTCCTGCGGCGTCATAGCGTGGCACCCACGACAGCATGCTTCAGACTCTCCCGTGGCTGCAACAGTCGTGCTGCCTCGGGGAGTCTTGTTGCGGCAAGAGTCTTCATCTGGAAACAGCCCCGCTTCTAACTGCTGAGTCAGCCGGGAAGAATGGAACACTTGCCGCCCTGGCTGTCTGCTGCTGGCCGGCAACACCATCAAGGATGGAGCTGCAACGGTCCACAGTTGAGTTTTCAAGTTGAAGAGGTACTTAATGGTGGGAAAGTGGCAGGATTAGCTGCATGCCCTAAGGTGAAACCATGTTACACACGGGCGGTACCTGTACTCTGCGTCATCGCTGGCTCCTGGAATTCAACGTGCTGGGAGTTTAAAAAAAGCAACAGAGCTATCGGAAGCGTATAGATACCTCTAATGGTGAAGTACTGGAATAGGGTGCTCACCCCGCAGACAACAGTAGAGTAAGAAACCATGCGGAGGCAATGCCGACGCCGCACCTGATCCAGCGGCCTACCCCTGGCTTTACTGCTCTAACGTCCCGCTTATAAGCTACAGGTCATTCATGTCGCTCAAGAAGCATATAAATTTGTCATTGTTTCAGACCATTTTGCTGCATGGTAATTTTCCCGCCATCTGAGCGTCTGCGGTAGGCATCTGCTACCAGTGCTGAGGCGTCCACGCAACGCTGATGGAGGAGCTTAGCGGCGGATTCCAAACACGGGTTCTTCAGTTGCTACAAATAATTAATTAATTATCAAGTAATGCTTACAAGCATGCATATCACACGCGCTTTACCGGCGTGTGCGGGAGGAATTCCTCACTGCACAGCTGAACCCCAGTTGTGCTGAACTTCGTTACAGAGAGATAAACAGCCTTCCGTTACTTTATCCTAGTATACAGCGGCTCAAATGTACGACTGGCCGTCTCATTGGCAACTGTAGGTGGCCGCCTTTGCCATAATTGCTATGGGATCCCCGCCGTTCCACCACGAAACCACTCCAGCACCGAAATGAGTTTTGGAAGCACAAGAAGGCACGCTGAGACCAGCGTGTGTATATTCCAATGTTTCTAACTTCATGGTTGCCATTGCTGCGGCTTACACGCAGCTTCTTTTGCCATGCGTTGCCCCGCATTTCATCGCTACAGGGGTCTACAACCACAAATACCCACTTAATAATAATACTGGCCACCGGTTAGCTTTTCGTCAACAACAAGGAACAGCTCTGTGCTCCCACTTCAGTTGAACAGGAATGCTCGGCTACGTCCACATTACCCAAGGAAGAAACGAGTTCACCCGTGCACGGACGTCGTATTGAGGCCATTGCTTCTGGTCCGTTTGCTTGTAGCTTAAACTGTGTTAATTCTGTAGTCTTTAGAACAATCTAGCCCTCTAACTTGTTCCCCGTGCATGTGTCAAAAGGCGCTCCTGACAGGAACGGAGAGGGGCTTTTGGCCAACTTACGCCTGCGCAGCAGCTGCTAAACACTTCAGATACTACTCTGGAGGCCTCTCGCAACGTTCTTGTCTGCGACACTTGACAAAATTGATACACTTGCACGAAAGTGACCGTGAGAGTCTGCAGAGTTTAATACTCCTCTGAGCTGTGCACAGCCTTGCTTGTATATTCACTGCGGCTTTTTGCCGTTGCCACGCTGCGCTGAAAGCTTGAATGTTTTTGAGGTAAGTAAGAAGTGGTACTTCTACATGGCTGCGCCGGGTACTTCCCCTCGATGCGTTTCACACTGAGTAGGCTGAGCTGATGCTCATGCCAGCAGAGAATCATTGGAAGCAATCCTGCCTTCCTCTTCGTGCTTTAGCTGAACGGCAGCATGCTGCCAAGAATTCAGGATTCTACTGCAAATCACCTGCATCGCAGAGTCTCCATCACTGTTGTACACACAGTAGTATGAAAAGCCTCAAACAGGAAGGGTGGCACCAGCATTCCATGCCCCGAGATGTGCTCCCACTACATCCACCAACCTGAGCCCTGTCGTTTCAACCTGCTTGCTTGGACTTCACTCCAATTCCCATGTTGGCAGCTTTCACCGGATGCTCATCAGCATCTGACTTTGCCTTGATTCGATTTGAGCTATAGTTAGTTCTGCTGTGAAGATCGCTGCGGCAGCCTCGCTGCAGCAAGCACCGTATCTCCCGTTACACGCCGTGTTCCGTCTCTGTCTCCACCGCAAGTTGCAGCTTCCGCCAGAATGTCCTGGGATGTTCGCCTACTGTTCTTCTGTACAGAATCTGTGGCTTCCCCATCCCCCTCGGGGCCGACTGAGCCGCGCGCACGAAGTCTCGTCAGGCCGCGCCGAACTCCTTCACACTCTGCATGCACTGCAAGGTCGATGTCTTCTACGCGTGTTTGGCTTGCCAAGACTAACAGCGGCTGCAAAGTGGACGTGACTGCAATCAGAACAATCAGAATAATCAGGAGAATCTACCCAAAACAAAAATTTGAAGGCTTGCTTATTAGCGCACTTCCGGCATCAGTATATTGCAATATGCACAACAAAAAGCACAAGCATGAACAGTAATTCTTGGAACACAGCATGTCAACTGGTGGCCTGAAGTAAGCGCACAAACACACGTACTTTCTGTGCCTCGAGGTAGTTTACACACGAGGGAGACAATGCCTTCTACCATCTCCAACAAACCTCGTGTCTTCCATCCTTTTCCTTTTGGGAGTGTTTTGGCGTTGAGGTGAGACAAGTTCATTCTGTCAACTAGTTCGATTACTGGAGCAGGCTTCCCCTGTTTTGAGCGCTTCATGCAAGCGACCCAGCACGCCACTTTTGCATCTACCTTAACCTTTTGGGCCTTTTCCAAAGCTTTCTGTTGCATGAGCGCCTTCCTTTGTTGTATGGTCATATCTTCGTCTCTGAGCCGCCTTAACTGATCGCTGCTAATTCCCCGATGGTGCTGGTCCGAGCGTAAACCGCCCTTTGCGTGACTCCGTATGCATGTAAGTGATTCCGCTCCTTTCTGTTTTTCTTCACCACTCATAGGTGAAGCCGACCCGATGGAGCTGGTATGTGAAGGGGCCTTAGCAGCAGGGAGGGATGGAAGGGAGGACACGCGTTCCATCGAGCCCGTTGAATATTCTAAGCGATCGAGGCTGCAGCAGTCGCTAGAGGTTCCCACTCTGCTCGACAAGGATGGTTTTCTCCGTGGGAAAGACCTGTTTCTCCGCAGTGCTCCTGAAGGGTGTGTGTTTGCAATGTCTCGAAAAGCGGAGGCGAGTGACGAAATTCCCGAAGACGAACTGCCTTGGTGGCATAAGCTTTCAGAATCACCATCACCTACCGAGTGAAGCACTTCACTGGAGAGGCCAACCCCACTTGAGGTAAAACTGTCGGATTCTGCGGGGAACTGCTCAGCTATACAGGCCACACGCAATCACACGGAGCATCCTTCTATAGCTCGAACGCCACCTGGTAGAATTGTCACAGTCTCACGATCCTGGACACTTAGATACAACAATCGGGTCATCTAGGCTCGCCATTCGTTGTGCTTTACTGGCAGCGAACAGTTCAAATCGTGCTAACCTGGCCCCCAAATAGAGCTTTCCAGTGAGTCTAAAAGCTTCAGATTCGTTTTTCTTTCTTCTTCTTCTCTTTGATCTTGTTGCTGATGATACAAGCAAGGGCACCGTTTCAAGTATCCCTGTTGGAGAGTCTGTATCCTCACTATGTAAGACTGGAAAAACACACCGCATACAACAGCACAACTCTTACGCACTTTATCAAAAGATTATGGTTCGAAGCGAAAGAAGGACGTGGAATACCTGGCTGAGAACAGTAACCGCTGGAGATGCTCACAAACTTGAGCAAGCGTTGACCTGGTTACGATGAAGGAGTCTCTAGACTAACATTGAGAATTTCGCGCAGCTCTGCCCTTTGCTTGTACTGCTGCCGCCACGTCTTCAGGTCTTCGAGAAATATCTGTGACGCCGCAAACGCAAAGCGTGTCACTACCCCGATAATGCAGTGGCCAAGTTGGTGAAAGTTATTCCTGACTCAGTAAATGGTCTCTCTTGTTTCTCGCCCAGCCCCACCTGCCTCTCTGCCGCCTCATGAACCAGCTGCTCCATCATCAGCCTCTTAGCCGACAGGCTCTCGGCAGCGCTGCAGCAAGCGTTTAAGTAGTGCAGCAAGTCGACTTCAATTCACTGCCAAGGACGAAATGACAATCACGCAATACGCCTAGATGCTGTCTATTCTAAGATAAAACGGCTCATGCCTGTAGAATGCAAACCTGGCTTGCGGAAAAGACCCTCCGTCGGGAGGCAGACAGACGTTGGCATTAATGGCAGCTTCAGCTTCCCTCCATTGGGCACATGAAAGGGCCCCCTCTACCGAATCTTCCCCCCGCGAAGCATCAACGCCTTGTGGTCCTCGTATATCGGTCTTGCCAGTCGCAGAAGCATATTTTTCTCCCTTTGACATCTCAGCCACCGACATATTTAACGGGCGACCAGCGCTTTCAGGGAGAGTTAATACAGTTTGTGGCACTTTCTCCTTAGGGCTCTCTGAATCAACAGACCCCCGTTGAACAACCGCGGCGACTTCCCCTTCTCGGCAGTCTCCAACTACAGCTGGTAGCGCTTGTGCTGTCTCCGTCAAGGACAAGCAGACTGCAGCATCCCTCTTCGGCGCATGCTTCGCAGAATCCAATGAGGCCTTCAACCGGTAGTGACCATCATCAGGTGCTGATGAGCCAGAATGCATAAGCTGTCTTTGCTGCGCAACCGGCAATGACGTAAATTCCTTGTGAGCTGGCGTGGGCCCTTCACCGTCCACTGCTCCGGAAAACGAATTGTTTTCCAGATCCATAGACTCTGGGGCTGTTGAGTATCCTGGTGTCCACTCCAGAAGAAGCAGAATCATCTGCACCTGGGCACGAGTCAATGAACCAGACAAACGAATCAGCAGCTTCCACGGTTTGCTGTTGCAGAGCATGCTTTTTGAGTCTTCATTACCAATCGATGCACCTAAATCAGAGCGGGGAAGACGCTGGGCACACCCAGGTGCCTGATTTATCTGTTGTGACAGCATCCATTGAAGGAGTTGCCTCTGATTAGCGCTAATCAATTCATTGTGAATCTGACAAGTGTTACGAGACCCCCTATCACCAGGAGCCAAAGTCGTGCCGCCGAGTTGTTGGGCGTCGCTGCTAGCATCCGCATTGACCTGAGACACTTCATCACGGCTAGCATTTGCGACTTTTTCAATGAGCTTCACCTGCTCTTCTGAAAGCGAGCGAGAGAGCTGGAAAAGAAGTAGTTGGTGTACCAGCTGATGAGGTTCGTCAGAGACAGGGCCTGAAAATTGAAACCGCCGGAGCAAGTTCGCCAGCATGTCGTCCTGCTGTGAGCCCTGGGCACCAATATCATGTAATTCCAGCAAAAGTTCGAGGAGCCCAGCTTGGTCCCGCGTCAAAAGCAATGTGCAGTCTGCCCGCAGCTCCGACGTTTCGTCTCCTGCACCCTCCTTGCTACTAATTAGTTCAGAGTCTTCCCTGTATCGTGGTCCAGGTATCTCTACTGTACAGCTCCCAGCATTACCAGAAAGGGTGGTTGTGGCCTGAAAAGGTGCTGGCAGAAAGCCAGAATGTGGCTGCTGAACACTGCTCTGGCGAGCATCAGTTTCCTGAAGCTGTATGCCCTCCTGAAGCAGTTGTGTTAGCAGTTGCAGCTGTTCGAGAGTAAGAGAAGCGGCAAGACAATTCACGAACATGTGCTGAAGTCCACTGCCGTCTTTGCGTCCTCCGCAGATTATGAGGTCTCCGCTGGACTGCCACATGTCTCGGGCGCACTGCAGCTCCTCAAGAATCGGCAAGGCATTTCTAGTGAGTGGTGCCGAACCATGTAGATGCACCACACAGTGCAGTGCCCCGACATACTCTTGAGGCAACAGCCTAGAGAGCTCTTGAAGTATCCCGTGCTGCAGATCACAAGTCTCGACGGCAGTTAGAGTCTCACCGTCTATCGCGCGCTGTGTCAAGGCCATGGTCCTCGCCTGCAAAGGGGTTGGTAATCCTCCACTCCACTGAGCACTTTCGGTAGATTGCAGCTCCGTTGCATTTCCTTGCACTTCTGGTGCTTCAAGCAAACCTGAAAGGTGCTGCCTCTGGGAGAGAGTGAGTGAAGCAGCGAGGAGCTGAAGTAGGAGCTGAAGAGCCTCACTACTTGAATTCGACTCTCCTTTTACAGTGTCGCTTGCAATGCTATTAAAGAATCGTTTCTCCTGCGCTGGCGACCACCAAGCTGCCGGCTGAAAGTACAGAGTTTCAAGCAAGTGGCGGTCTTCGGGTGACAGTGGCCACGGTGGCTCTAAGAAGAGGAGCCGATGGATAGCAATGCGTTGTTTCAATCCGCAATACGGCTTCAGTTGCTCCTCTAGTGCCGCCTGGACATCGCTTCTGCTTTGCTCGTCGTCCGCTTCGTATAGGACACGACGAAGGTCATCGAGCACATATGGGGATAAGGGAACACTAAACTTATCCTGAAGGGCTGCAGAAGCGTTCAACTGCTGCTCTGAAGACAGAGAATTTGCCAGTGCCCGAAGTAATAGCGTCTTCAGGCTAAGTTCTTCTTCAGGTGAAAGGCTTCCGTTGGCTCGCTTCCCTAGCAAGCTGATGAATAGCTGACGTTCAGAAAGTGACAGACAACTGGTCCCTGTATTGCTCAGCAATTCGTGTAACAGCTTCGCTTCTTCGTCCATTAGCGGTCCCATTCTTTCGGCGCAAAGAACATGGCGAAGCACATGGAGATCATCCGCAGAGAAGACTTCACACGAGTAGTAGTACAGCATCTCTTGTAGCTTGTCAAGCTCATTAGAAAAAGCCTGAACACGTAAACACTGAGCTTGAAATCTACCTGTAGAGGTATCCCGGTGTGGCATTCGGCCTTTGGCGAGTGCACCGCGGGGTTTCGTACACGTCGCACGCCTCTGAACTGTCGATTGCGTGAAACATACACAGCTCCAGGGACTGAATAAGTACTCCTCATCGTCCTCTTGCCGCGCTCTGGTGCTGAGTACATTGGAGTAAAGCTGGTTACCCCGACCCTTCGCTACATGACCGCCCCGTGTAGCGATGCAGCAGCACTGTGACTCTTTTGGCCCTGGAAGACAAAAGCCTACGCACTCCTCATTCTCCATGTTGCTCAACTCACTGAAACTCTGTTGTTTGCGGATTCTCTCCCCTGTGAAGTGGAGCATCGGTGCGTCAGCGCCACCCTTGTCTCGCCCAAGAGGTGGAGCACCTAATGGGGTAATTTTATCCATTGCTCCTGTATTTGATAAAATAAAGATGAAAAAGAAGGCTTTGAAAAGATATAAGCCTTGAAACGTGGAAAAGTGAGACTGCCAGTTTCGGACACGGCTACCTCGTCGATCGCTCGTTAGGGCATGAAGGCCTTGATAACTAGGAACAGCTTCCGCTGCCGCATAACAAGCGACCTAATGGAATCTATAGATAAAATTCTCTCAGCATTGACTTAAATCTGTGCAGCTAAAGGTAGACCCCAGGAAGCTACAGGGCCCCACGTGCATGAACCACTGGTCCAATGGCTCACTGATGAACCTTGCACACTTGTTGTTGGCCCCCATTCTTTCCCAGCGCCTCTATTCAAACATGTTTTTCGGAGATATGCACCTGAAAAATGTCTTTAAGGAAACGGTTCGCACGAGTTTCACCTCATAGTCCCTATTGCCAAGCTGAGTCAGCATGCAGACTGAATGTTGGCAGGCACTTGTTAACTATTTTTCCACCCTTCAGGACCTTCAACATTGTGCTTACTTTGACCTGGAAGTTTATCTACCATTCCGAATCTCCGAAGACTCATGATGCATAGTTCCTCTGCACAGCTGGTGATGCTGTTGGGTGAATGGGCTCACGTATATCAGTTACGCTCTACGGCGTTCCAAGAGGACAACCTTTCGCGCAGAAAACACTTTTCGTCTCTTCCACAGATTCCACAGTAATAAGCACAGCTCGTTCTAACCAGGCAGAATGTTACTTATAGGTCCCGCCTTTTACAGGAGAAAGCGGCTGGAGCTACGTGAACTCAGGTGCCCTTCATCTCTGACATTATTTGTGCTAAATGACTAGTAGCAGAGCAGTTAAACTATGGCTGAATAGTTGAGGGCTCTCAGTCTCATGCGGCATCTCCACAGAGCTGGGACGTGACCAAATCCTCAGTGTAGAAACAGTAGATTAACATATCAGCACCACGGCGTTCTTAATCTGTTTTGTTCTTGATATTTTGGCACGTGATACTAGAAGGTGCCTTCTACGCAGTGGGGAAGCCGCACTAATATCGGAGGAGCCACTGACCCCAATGACAAAGGTTTGCTCCCATTACATTCGACACACTGATAACTGGACGAGGGAGCCAAAGCTCATCGTGCACATTTAAAACACTGTGCACGATTAGCTCTCTTCTCTATATTGGCCGGATGAGCTATGGTGTTGATATGTTCGCACGCGGGCTTGTGTACTGTACTTCTTAAATCTTGTCTAGCAAAGATCAGAGAGGATCGTGTTCGCGATAAAACATGCATAAGCAAGCAATGAAACCAAACTGTGCTGCGTTAGCATATTTGCAAGGCGATGCAAACTATAAAACACGTGGTTCATTAGGGGCGAATCGAACTGCGCTCCTAGACATCGAGAATGTGGCACTTTATCTCTACCAAAAGCCACAACAGTAGCTGGAACGTTCAAGGATACAAATTGTTAGAATATTTGTGCTTTGTAGAACTTCAGTGAGCGTGACAGCTGGAAGCCGGCAAGATTGCAATGTGTCTCTACGCCGGCTTCAGAAAGGCACTTGGCCAGCCACTGGCTAGTTCCCGGCGAGCTTGTGAATATTGAAGCAATTCAAGGTGATTATTTAAAAGGCTCCAGCTAGACGGAGAATTTTATATGCGCGGTGTGTAATTTTTAGTGGGCATCGCGCTGCACCTTGCGATGCTATTGGATCCTCATTTCACTGTGTAAAACAAGTCGTGCGCAGATCCAGCTCGATAAATGCGACCAAAAGCTCAATAAAAATGAACTGGCAAAAACTGTTTCCCCTTCGTATTCTTCGGCAGGTAGCCACCCCTGATGATGCGTGATGGCGAAGCAACTATAAAGAGGCGTAGCCACTATCACTGAATTATCAATAAAAGAGGTAACTCCCTGAGCTGATCGCAAACACATGTATCCAGAATTTCTAGAAATAACCTGGAAACTGTTTGTGGGGACAGAAGTGAAACCTCTGTTGACTGGGATGAGAAGCAGTCCCGGCCCCTGTGTAGCTAGTCAGTGCGCCATGAGCAGGATTGGCGGTAGAGTTGGACAGCTTTTCCCACTAGTAAAACGACAATAACCTGCTCAAGAAAAATGAATGACTGTCTAGCTCTTAATGGACGCAGATATTCTTGAAGGTTCGCTGCCGGTGCACCCGGTGCTCATTGGAACGTCGGCGCAACTGGAGGGTGAAACACAGCTGGCAGAAGCCACAAGAATGGTAGTTGCTGAATAAATCACATCCACAAGTTTGTCTTATATTTTGCCACAGAGTGCATCGGCAGGCTGCAGTCTCCACACGCAGCGGCAGTGCGCAACACTGCAATGCGGCCCAGAAATGACCTTCAGGTTCGCATAATTTACATTATGTAGATTTCTGTAAGAGCTGGACTTAATTATTATGTTCACAAACTAATAGTGTGTGCAATCAGGCTCAATGTCCCGTGCAGTTAGGCCAAGTTTCAGCCATATCTATACTGCGGCGTATTGGGGTTAAGACCGGACTGTCTCGGCTGTAGAGTGATACATACAAAGTTAATTTTCCTTGCTGCAAATGCTCTGCCGCCGTCAGTTGAAATCGGCTGGCGCAAAAAAGAGCTAGGAAAGGCCATAATACTGGACAGGGTCATAGGATGTACTTCACATACATTTCACTGCAAACAGTCACCTACCGTCAGCAGATGGTGCAGAGGGAGTTACAATAGTTACTCAGAAGGAAAACCAACTAGATGTGAGCGAAGTGCAACTTTGTTGGTGTCTATTGTTCTTGAGCACCTCCCTTATCCCACAATGGGCCCACCCAGTCCAGGCCAGCCATGCGAACTTCACACAGCAAAACGTCATTGTCAATCTTCACCAGCCCAAATCATCTGTACATAAGCAAAAGAATATTTGGTTTGCGACGATTGTGAGCGGATGCTTGTGGCTGCAATTCAACGTTCTTATACTTGCACTGTTGCTCGTACTCAATCGAGGCGGCAGCACTTGGTCGCATGGCAGCAGGCCACCAGTTCCTTGGTTGGTCGGCCACGAACTGTTTTCCACCATCGCAAGGTGAATTGGCTTGTTCGAAATTTTAATATGTCATATTTAAGAGCACTAGACATTGCTGAAGGCTTAACAGAGTCATGATTCTCCTCAATGCTCCGCGAGTGGGCTGGTTGCGGTGAGCACAGAGTCAGCAGTGGTGAGCCAGTGTTCACAGGAGACCAATGTAACTTCATGTTTTATACTATTTGGAGAAAAATTCAAGATGAACTCAATCTTTTTCGTGTAAGAGCCTCTGGAAGTATTTAGACGGATGGGTGCGTTGTAATGCGCCTGGTTAGCTGACTGCACGCCGGATTCTCTGGGGAAGTGGTGTTTTATTACCTTACACGGACCCCTGCCCCTTGTCGTCACTGGGTACTTTCCCTCCTTGCTCCTCACCACCAAGGAGCTGCGGTAACGGGAGCTGCGGCGAATTAGCGAGAGGCACAGTTGCAGCCCAGCCATCGTGTAGCGCCTCGTCTTCATCTTCCCGTGCTCTACATTCACTTTCCCATTGCAGCAGAAACATAGCAGGTGCACAAGCAAGGCCTAGACTGGTCTGCTACAGCTGACCAGGTCTTTTAAGGCAGCTTTTCATGCACTGGTGTTTAATGCGTTTGGCTGACGTCATGCATACTCCTGCGAGACAAGACGTTGGCGATGAAGGCTCGCCTCAAGCACGCGAAGAAGGAAGGGTCCGGTGGCAAGATGTTTTCACTAAGAGCCTCTTTTTCAATGTTATGGGCCGCACAGAGAGGGCCCTGCGAATGGCGCTTGGTGGTGCCCTGATCATGGCCCTGACAATGTGCGATCTCCCCAATATGGATTATTCCTTCAAGTACATTGGTCCCTTCTTATTTTTTGTCGTGGGTACCCTGGCGCCTCCGCTGCTCAGCACAGCAGTCATCATTCTCTTTGCTGGTCTGTTTTGCATTCTTTTGGCGTGTGCAGTGGCAACGGGGCTCTTGTCTTGCCTGTTGGTGAGCAGTGGTGGACAGGCCCTTTGCATTATAGTATTTGCCTTGTTTGTCTTTTGGGCATCCTTCTTGACAACCAGTAAGACTAAGGAGATGACCCTCATCGGCTCCTACATCCTGCTGTACGCGGTGCCTCTGGCGACCCTGGTCGCTTCCCCTTATGCCTCTGACGGAATAAAACTTGTTTTGACACCCGAGAGATACGGTGCGCTGAAGCAGTTTATGGCAACGAGCAGCATAGCGGCTATACTGGACGAAGCCTCCAGCTTCTTGCTGATGCCTCCTGACGTTGTTGCTGAGCTTGTGGCCAAGCTTACAAGCCCTTCAGCTGTCCAGTTCCTGCAGCGTGCTGCTCAGTCACTCCAAATTCAGCTTCCTGCACTTCCTACGGACCAACCGCTAACTCCGCAACAAGTTATGGGTCTTCTGTTCACCTTTTTCGAAAGCCTGCCACCAAACATGCCCGTTTCTGTTGAGATGAAGCCGTCACGAAATGCGGGTCTTAATTTAAGCCAGGACTGGATGTATGACGTTCCACTTTTTGTGGAGGGTGTCGTAGGACAGCAAATTTCAATTGGCGCCAGACCTGGAGCGTGGTTCATCAAGACCATCTGGGTGGCCTCCGGACCAATAGGAATGCTTAGAAACCTCATCATATTCGCATTTCTGGGTTTCGCTATTTATTTATTAGTCATGTTGGTCCCTCCGATCCGACGGCAACGTGATGTTGCGATACGAGATATGGCAAATGCTTGCCGCGTCATCCGCCGGTATGTCAATAAGTTCACTGCTTCTTTTTCTCTCGCTGAGCCTTCGTACGAAAGTGGTGCGTTTTCGTCTATCAAGCTGGTTAGCGAAGTTTGAGAGACAAGGACTGACTGTGGTGTGATGCAGGGCTCTGCGCACGGTGAAGAGCAAGCTGGCTACAACGGAGAATGCGAACGATCAGGCAGTGGGTGACGGCGATGGAGCATGCCAGAGAG